TCACTCATTAGTTGATGATAATTGAGTCTTCAATGTACAACACCATTTGTTTTTGCCGATTCCTCACCATCGACACGTAGCTAGAGATCATATGATGGTTGTGTTATTAAGGCTAATTAGCATCAATATGGTGCATTGTGAATGAACTGTTGATACTGTGAGCAATAGATTGGAAGAGAGATGTGACACTAGGAGCAAAACAAAAAATCAAAGTATGCGACTGAGACAAGAGATAAGAGGAGCAGAATAAACAAATCAAAGAGCTCATTACAGAGAACAGCAGAAGATTGTGATCATGGAAAATGGGGACAGACGGATCTTTGCTTCCTGCTGGCACTTGCTTTTGCACCACATTCACAGAGCTTATAGGCAATTATTTGTGACTGGCCAATTAGCACATTAGAATGTGTTGTTTAGATGCACAGTGTCGTGTGTCTGTGCTGATGATGTTGCTGCAACAAGTGCCATGACGGATCAGGCCCCCAGAAATATTCTGAGCCATGCAACGGATGTCGACAGCCAACTGTTGAGCGAGTAGTTGAAGCGGTAATCTGCTGGATGTGTTTGTAGTGACTGTGTGAGTGTCCGTTGGTGCGGTGTTGTACTGTACTTCTCAAAAAGCATTAGTGCTGCCCTTTTAGATTTCCATTTAGACCACAAGCTCATGTTTTGTGAGGATTTTGATGAACAAATTTGAAATTTTCCATAGTGGAAGCTCTTACAGTAATAATAATCTGTTTTATTTATATAGCACTTATCTAAACAAGGTAACAAAGTGATTCATAAATACATGGCAAAAAATGTATGAACTAAAATAAAAGGTATGTAATTCACTTAAATTTAAGGGACAAATTATAACATATTAAGGTTGAGACCTTAAAATCGATAGAGAAACCCAACAGTTCCCTCTTATTCATGCTAGCTCATTCACACCAATTGCTAACTTGCGAATTACTGAGACGTTTGCTATAAACTTTTAATTCAGCAAATCCGAAACACTGGGTACCAGAAACTTTGTGTTGAAAACTAAGCGTCCATCTTTTTAAACAAGGCTTGTCAGAATCGGTATATTGCGGTGGAGCTTATCCCAGCATGCAATGGGTCAGAGGGAGCGGTACTTGTCCATCCATCCATCATTGGGCCAAGACTTTTAGTAAGGAAAACACTTTGACACCCACAGGGAGTTCAGGTCTAACCTGAATTTGTTAAGTTGGAGTGTGGAGGCTCAGCTGGTGGGTTCACATGATAAGATGTGAGTTGACAGCACTATAGTGACATTTTATGCTAAACCACCATCTTTTTATCTACTCTAATGTTTTTACTAAGAGTATGCATTCTGTTGGACAGTGCCAGAAATTAATACTTTTCAACACCTGGAAATATACATTTGCCCCCCCAGTTAATATACATACATTTTTAAAAAATACAATTGTGTTGAAGCCAAACAGTAGCTTAAGACTTAGTATGGCAGAGGTTCTCTTCAGCTCAGTCGTGGGCATTCAGTGTGTCATGCTGTTATTGTTGATAGGCAGCATGGTGGGCAGGTGTGTCAGGTCTGTCAGGGAGCATACTTGGAAAATGTGCCCTCCGCACACCATGCTCTCATCTGGAGAGAGAGATTCTACAGTACATAAACATGAGTGATGTGTGTTTGTGTGTGTGTGCATGCAAGTATGTATGCGTGTGTGTGTTTAGTTTGAGCTTGTGTTTGTGGTTATCACTGCAGCAAACAGCCTAAATATCACCTTGTCCTCATTATGATGCTACCATGCACATAAATAAACATATGTATTTACATTAGTATCTTTTGTGATTTTTGGATGTATGTTTTTTTTTCCATTGTCAGGGCTCAGTGCATAGCAACTATTCTGCATGCTGGGGAACCGAGGTCTCATCCTCGTCTGCAGGGGAAGGTTTAGACAGCCAAAAGTTAGTGTCTGGGGATTTGGGGAGATGGATGGAGTGAGAGGAGATGGAGGCTCTTTTTCTGGTCATTGTCAGACTGTAAAACATCTGTGAACATCATAGACAAATAGGTCTGTGGCTTTCCTTAAGTGCCATGTTATAGGAAATCAATTCCATGATGTATGGCACCTGCAGTTTTGTTTTGTTTTATGTCTGCCTTGAATTGAAGTATTTTTCTTCATCACATTCCCCTCTTAAATATCTTTTGTTTGTATTTATCTTGTTGCTTGTACCACCTTGTATCACCTGCCTTAAAATGAGGAATCTGAGCATATTGAGAAGTTATGCTTTAGTTTAGGATTTACAAATAACACAATTCTTAATATTTTGTCACATTAGTGCCTCATTGTCATAAGTTTCACTTTGACAAGATTGTGAAGGAAACTGTCTTTTCCGAAGAGAAAACCACACGGACATGCAGAAAATTACTTCTTTTTTAGAGGAGGAAATGTTTGTTAGTCGTTGATGGCAAGAATGTTAGTAACATTTGTGTGAAATCAAGAAATATGGTCATCAAGATTTTGGATCCAGAGGTAAAACTCCTGCTTAAACTATGACGAGACTATATTAAAAAAAAAAAAGTTTTCTTAAATATGGCCCCATATACTCCAAATCCTCATCAAACAACAGATGTTTATTTTGATGCCTTGCAGAAACACACACCCATATCCCTCATAGTCACACATTTGAATGGTCTCGCAGGGCGACCTAGATTGATAATGCAGCCCGCCAGAGGCAGGGTGCTGTCACTCCCATCACTAACATGGCTTTCCCATCCAAGGCCACTGCCTGCTCAAAAACACGCTGCCCTGTGAGGGAGACTTTATGTAGCATAGCAACAGAGTTACTCAGTGTATAAGCTGATTTGACACCGTCAGGTGAAACAAGTTTTAAGATTTATTTTCTCTGCTTGTCTTTGTCTGGTCCGGAGATTCAGCTCTCAGGCCATGTGGTGCATTCACCAGTGGAACTGCCTGTTCTCTCATGAGGAGGAGATGGAAAGAAATATGATTATTGCAAGGGCACACGGGGACAGTCATTGAGAAGTGATTTAATGAAGATCTTCATAATTGTCTGTATTATTCAAATCACACTTCCTCATTTTTCAAATAAGTTTAGTTTGATTCGTTATTTGATGCAATTGAAAATGGGGTGAAATCTCATTGACAGCTGAGACAGACTCATGACTGGTCAAGTGTGTGTTTACAGACGGGACCTCACAAACACACAGCTCCATCCCCTGATCACTGCTGCACAGACTCTGGCTGCAAATGTGCAAGACGGCTATTTTAGCTTCATTTGTGGATAGTGGGAGGAAGTAGAAACGTCTCATCCATCTTCATATTCAGTCTTTGATGAAGACTCACAGAGCTGCCATCCGGACCCCGCCTTTGTCTCTTGTTTCATGACATGATGTGCATATGGGTGTGTCTCCCTACAGCAAACAAAGCTATAATGGGTTACATGTAGATTTTATCATCAATAAATCATCATGTTCATCATCATGTTTCTATATTTAACATATAAGAACAGGGTCATCATACAGTGGCCCTGAGAGCTCAACACTACGGCAAGTTGAAAAAGCAAGGAGCATATGCTATAGACAAAATGTGAGCAAATTCAGAAAGCATCAAACTAGAAATTAGCTGTAAATACACACAAGGCAACCACATAACACACTGCAAATACACAACACAACCACATAATGTCCTGAAATTCACACAATACAACCACATCATGTGCTGAAAATACACAAATACCACCAAATAACAGACTGCAAATACACAGTATAATACACTGCAAATACAAACAACACAGTCAAATAATGTTTTAGAAATTCCCATAACTCAGCCAAATAAGATGCTGCAAATACACACAACACAACCTAAGAAACAAAAATACTGTAAAACGCACAGATGACAACAGAAGTGTTTCCAGGGGACGCGGCAAAGTGTCTGCAAGTGTTCGCAGCACATTGGGTGTTAATTTGATGAAGACGTTTCCAGAATCTGCTTGTGTTTTGTCTATTTGCGCTTGTTGCAAATAAGTTGGAGTGCATTGAGCTCTCTGGGCCACTGTATCATCACCAAAAGAAACCGTCTCCCACAACAGAAATCTACTGGATCACTGCCGAGCATGAGGAGAAATTGCTTTTTGACACTCGACAGAAAGAGGATGTTGTTTTTCCTGCTCCAGTGCAGCATGTATCATTTTGACAGAGAGCTACAGGGTTTCTGGAAGACACTGGCGTGAACACTGGCAAGAGTTCAAAATGAATTTGCAATAACATACTGATGTTTGGAAACGGCTTCATCCCAACAATAAACGATATGGAAATTTGATGATAGCGTACGATAATAAAAGCAGCTCATCTCGTTTTCTTATTCTTCCTCTCTTTAACATTTGACTACAGCAGCGTACAAGTGACAGAGGGGAGTCTGAAATCCTGCCAATGTATGGAGATGAATGTTTTCTGCCTCTGCACATGGCTTGATCTGTCTTGCTTCAGCCCCTCTTACATCATAGCACGTGCCGCGGGGCTTTCTCTCTGCAGAGCAGGCGTTCTGTATTTAGAGCCTGATTTATACACAAACACACTTACCACTGGGGAAGGCGAAATGAGTATTCCTTTTCCCTACTGCAATTGCCAGCAATATAATCATCTTCCCACACTTCCGTGTGCCTTTAAGGATAGCATTCAGAAAGTACGAGGGGGATAACGTCATGAAAGCAAATGGTAGTTTAAAAGATAAACGAAAAGGATGAATGGTATAAAATATTCTGCATCCAGTCAATTCAAGGTAATCCAATATTTAAAAGGAGAAATGCAAAGCATGCCTTTTTCTTCTTCTTGCTCTTCGGTTGCAAGTTGCAATTAGAATCGTCTGCCATTTCTTTGGCTCAGTGAGGATTGACAGATTTGCGGTAGAGATCGACCCGCGGGGAGGAATTCACCAGGTAAACGCACAGCTGGAGAAAAAATAATTCTCATTTCTGCTCTTCTTTGCTCTTTCTCCCTCTGTCTTTGTTCTCAGGTTGTTAGAGAGCTCATTGATCAACGCAGAAGTGAAGGAAGGAGAGATTCTGCCTCCTACCATTCAAAAGCTGATGAAAGGATACAACAAGTACCTAAGGCCTTTCTTTGACAGTAAGGAGACTGCAGACACATCCAGCAATGGAAATGACAGAACACTCTGGGGAAATTTGAATGTGACCGAGAAGGGGTTCATATTACATTTTGTGCTTGCGTGTCCCTGCTGAGTAATCTGGGCTGACATGCATACATTTGAATTTACTGCACGTGTGTTACAAGATCCGAAGAAGTCAAATGTATCTTTTGTAATATTTTCACAAGGAAATACTGTGTATTCAAAAGAAAACAAGCATCAACATTGATTTAAAGGTACAGTGTGTAGAGTTTTGTGACATCTAGTGTTGGAATTTCATGTTGCAGCTGAACAACCCTCACCTCACCCTCTCCCTCCAAACATGAAGAAGATCCTGTGGTAGCTTCAGTTGTCATAAAAACTCAAAAGGTGTTTAGTTCGAACAGTCTGGACTATTGTAAAAAACATGGCAGCCTCCGTAGAGAGGGTCCCCTCAATGTAAATATAAAGTATGTAAATATAAAGGGCCTTTTTTGGGATAAAGAAAACTACAATTCATACAATTTAGATGAAATGAACTAGTGAAAACATCATGAGGATTATTCTACATTCAATGTCTGCCAATAGTTCCCTTTCACCTAAATCTCACACACAGCTTTAAGGCCAGTACATAAATATAAATACTTTTCTTTTTTGTAATTTAAATCCATTTTTCACCAGCTAACTCATTCACCTGCGAATAAAGACCCAAGTCTATCTTAGTATTCATGCTCACAGGAGCAATGTTATATCATCCCCTGTAAATCCCTTGCTACTGTTATTGGTCCAGGCTGCAGAAATCCATCACAATGTGATTATGGTTTGTTTACTTGTCGTTTGATCTGTAATAACAGCCCGAACTTTACCAAGACAAATGCTATTCAGCGTTATCACTAGTCCGGCTGCCAAGGAACACAGCACGTATACTGATACAAACACATATTCATATACACATGTATTTACATCGCTATCTGTGAACACTTTCATGGATTTTATTCAATCTCTAACCCATAAGTACTAGATTCATCTAAAACTTGAGACACCATTATTTTTGTGACATCTTTGGCCTCACATACATTTGAGGTAAAACAATTCTCAACATTTTGGTGCACGACAATGTCACAATGTTTTTTTGTCAATGTCACCCTTCTGCCAGACATCCTCCGGCACAGCTAGGTCTTCTCAGTCTGACTAGACCTTGTGACACAGCATGCCCCCTCACTCCAGACTTAATATTTATGTCTAAATTTCAAGTAACCTTAAAGTAATAGGTCAACATGTCGGGTAATCCACTTATTTGCTTTGTTGCTAAGAGTTAAATGAGAAGATACAATCTGTGAACGTCTGTGAGCTACGGCCAGCAGGCAGTTATTTTAGCATTAAGTCTGGAAACTAGAGGGGAACAGCGAGGTTAACTCTGTCCGGTAGACAGTAAAAAGCCCCCCCCCGTTTCCAGTCTTGCAAATGTTAGCTTCATATTTACTGTGCTGACATTTAACTTCTCCAAGACTGTTCTTTAAAGACTGGAAAGGGAAGGGAAACATCTAGGCTAGTTCTGTCCAGACTGCTTCACAAAGTCATCAAAATTGTTATTGTTTTGATTGAGGACCCCTAGTGGCCCAAGTTACTTATTATAAGTTTAAATGTAAACTCCAGTACAAGTATGAACCAAATGTTATCTTTTAAAGATTTGGTTTGAATTGCGTAACCTTTTGTGGAGGTGGCCTGTGAAAACACACAAACACCTTCAAACAACTACTCCACACGTCTGCAGGAGGAAAACAGACGTGTACAGTATCTGCAGTATGACAGCAGGCTCATTGCTCTCTCTTGCACAGAAATGAAGATGGAATAAGTGCGAGAGAAAAGAGAATGGGGAGATGAAACAGAAGAGAAGTCAGAAGTCACTCCTCTTTGATGGTGAATCAGGGAGAACTAATTCCCTCATGGAGGTTCACACTTGACAGACTGCAGCTGTGTGGGGGTCTTTAGCATTTTAAATATCCTGTCCTTCGATAACCTTTCATTCTACAACACTGTATCCCATGCCTTCTCACTATACCCTACTCTGTTACTTAAACCGCAGTCATATACAGTTTGCATTAACACATTAGGAAAATGTGTGGATAGTGTTCTGTATAAAGAGCAAATGCCAAATACTGCAGTTAATCACTGGTTTCTTCTTTGTTTCTAGATGGTCCAGTCACAGTGGGCATGAGCTTGGATATCGCCAGCATTGATACTATCTCAGAGATCAACATGGTGAGACATACCTACAGTACTGTCACTCCAGGCCTAACTATGTTGTGCTGAGATGCTCTTATTCATTTCAGATGTGGATTTAACTAGAGCTGTTTGAAGATATAAACCTTTAATTCAAAATGTTTTCGTCATTGTTTGCTGTTAAATAAACATATACAAAATCCATTCATTAGAATCATGTCTAATGTAATAAATGATTACTCAGTAATCAAAAAATAATGACCAACTAATTTGTCCACTGCTGAAATTCAATTGCATCCAAACAGTGTATAAAATAAATCTTAATATTAAATCTCTGAGGTACAGTATCTCATTTAAGACAATCAATTAATGAGTCTCATTCAGTCTTGATGTTAACAATGAAAACTTATTTTATCATTGATTCGCAATTATTTTTAAGGAAAACCTCTGACATCTTTTTCAGTTGTAGTTTTGTTTGATTGCTAAAGATATTGACAGATAATCAATTGTGATTTTTCCACTGGCATGTAGTAAGGCTATTATTGAAATGTAATTACTGACTGGAGATTGACTAGGTTCTCAAACTCTGAAGGTCTTAAACATAATTAAGTACAGAACAGAAATCCAATTTATCAGTGTGATGTTTCTGTTGTAACTGTTGGCAAGTACAGTTCAACAACATCCCCATAACAAATAAACATCCCAAGCAAGTTAAACAAAGATCATCTTTACTCAAGTTTTCCTCAAATCAAACCATGTCACTGACCAAACAGTAGCAATGACACGTATATGTAAGTACACAATGACACTGTCACAAAATACTTATGAGCTTATTAAAGAAAGATGTTATGGCAGGGCTATTGTGTTGAATTAGATTTTATAAGTGTTCCTAATTAAGTGCCCCCTGAGTGTATTCGTCTTCAAGAAGGCTGAGTCTTTATGCAGTAGGAGCTCGCCACATAGATGGGCAGTCAAAAAGCTGCTGCACTTTTAACTGAGAAACTTTTAATTGAGAAACAGACTGAAACTTTGTATTATAGATGCAATTTACTATCACAAAAACAATAATACATTTTAAAGATATAACCTCAAAGCTTATAACTAATAATACCTTTTGTGCCCTATCCCAATACCTCTCCCTTGACATGAACCTTGACATGAACCTTAATCGTTACACTCAGACTGTTTACATCTTTTTGTGTGTGAATAGCAATTTGTCTTGATATTCTTGTCACAGTGATTCAATGTTCATTGTGAAAGGCAAACTCTGGAGAAAGACTGCCTCCAATTAGGCGGATGTTCTCTCGAGATAATGTCTGAAAACGACTTGAGAAAATACACATAGGCCTCTGAGATTGGATCTCTTTACAGTAACATTGAAGCGGAGATGACAGCCACACTTAATAGCTCATTTTGTCCCTTAGAAACTGGACTATTGGTGTTGATTGACACCAGTCAGGTCTTGTGTAACCTCACTCAAACAGTGGACTCTGGCTTTCCTCCGGGACTGACATGGTTATTTCCTGTCATGCTGAATATGCTCGGTCAGAAAATTACACTCATAGCTTGTTGTCAGACAATAGGAGAAAGTGATTAGGTGGCTACACGTGATGTAACATCAGGACTATACAGAGTATATCTTCAGTGTACTTAAAACCAGAACAGACTTGCTGACTTTACAATGCTGGAGATTATTTTGTCGCTTTAGGCACAGAAGGGCTGAGGGACCTGACGCCATCAACACCTAACAGTACAAAGAGAAGCCGAGAGCTGACTAATGAAATACATGTGCGAAAGAAGAAGCTTTGTTTGCAAAAACCTCACGTGTCCGTCAGCATATTATTGACATGCTTGTTAAAGCAGTGTAGTAGCTCTATTGTGACCTTTGGGTCTGAATCCTGCAGGACTACACCGCCACCATCTTCCTCCGCCAGCGCTGGACAGACGAGCGCTTGGTATTCGATGGTAACAAGAGCCTCAGTCTGGACGGCCGGCTCGTGGAGCTCCTTTGGGTCCCTGACACCTTTATCGTGGACTCCAAAAAGTCCTTCCTCCATGACATCACAGTCGAGAACAGACTGATCCGCATCTTCCCCAATGGAACTGTTCTGTACGCGCTAAGGTAGGATGGAGAATGAGACAGTTTGTTTATTGGTTGTTGTTGTGTTTCTCTTTTTTTCTGCTCCGACAGACAATGACAAGTAGGCCAGGGAATGGAGAATAAATTGGCTATGGGAGGAAGCGTGGGTTGAGTTTGAGATAATGTGATTGCAAAACAGGGAGTTGTGTCAATTCTATTGCTTGACTATTGGATTGTATGAGTACAGGGGAATGTCATCTGTCAATACAAGGAGCTGTGGTCTATCAAAGGTCCCTGCAACTGAAGGACCCCTCCTACAGATATTGCACTGTGTGCAAGGGCTTAACATGTGACAAGCTTTTGTCAGATGATAGATGAAACATAAATTAATCTATTGGTTTGATTAGATAGGCCAAGCAGAATGGTTCGTGAAAGAAAGGCTATAGATGATCCAGCAATTTGATCACCTCTCTAAAAGCTGGTGATGATGGGATTTACATGTTTTTATGCCACATTCTTTAACCTCAGCTCAAATATGCATTGTATAAGAGCTGCCCTTGATGATTTCACTTCCCTCGCTTGGTCCTGTAAATCAGTGTTAATCAACTTCTTTTCATGCTGTACAGTCATAGTCAAGCATGACCTGGTTACACAATGAAAGGGGAAAAGTGTCACATGGAAGAGGTCCTAACTGTTCTAATGGCAAATCTGTAACTATCATGGGGGAAAATGTGCAGTACGTGGGTGTCATGTTATAAATTGAGTAGGGTATCCAGGCTCAGTTCAGCATGGCTTCACAGTAAGTCATGTCTCTGTACAATAAAAATTGTCAGGAAGGCACTGTACTGCTCAGAGGGGGTCTGGCATGTGAGGAAGCTTGTCAGAGAATTGCTATTTATGTTTTTATTTTTAAGTGCCCAACATTATCATGTAGACTGTGACTCCAGTTGTTGATTTTAGGGTTTTGCTTGTTGATTTGTACTTGGATCTTAGTGACGACCATTTTTAGCATAGACCTTACAGAGTGAAGATATTTCGGCTGGTCCTCATATTTTGAAGGTAAAAATGTGCTTTAATACTTAGGGTCAGGCGTAGTTGTGATGTAGATTAGGGTTAGGGGCTAAGGGTCGCATTATGCCAATGAGTGTCCTCACACAGAAATTGAAGTGTTTGTGTGTCTGTGTGTAATATGAAGCCTCCATACTTTCAACTGTACTGTTTCTGGGCTTGACAGATGAAATGAGGAGGATGGTTGCACTTCACAGTCAGAGAGCATGACTAGTGAGAGTCAGGAGAGAGAAGGCCACCTCTGGGACTTGGGGCTGTGAAACAGGACAGAGTAAAGTGAGAAATGTGAGGTGTTGGAGGGAAGGGACAGCTGTGGTAAATGTTTCAGTGCTGTGCCACGGAGGAACATGAGAAAGCACTGAGGTGGTCGGAGCCAGTGTTTGGGCAGTTAAGAGAGGAGATTTAATATGAATTACTGTATGTTACTTTCATGGTTGAAAGGGCTGAAGCTGAAATGTAATTTAAAAATGAAAATGAAACCAGTCATCCAAATTTTGCAGACTAAAGGCTTGTGTTAAATTGCTGTAGCAGCCGGGATAGATGTCCTGGTGAACAGGAGTCCTCCATTTTTAGGTCAAGCTGGTGCATACAAATGAAATAAAACATTTCATATCATGACAGATTCAGTGTCTCTAAATGACATATGAATCAACATCATGGCTGCTTTGTAAAGAACTAATAAGAAACTTCCTTGAAAATTCTCTCACTACAAATTATTTGTAAAAAGTAAACAAAGTTTGTAGACGGTAAAAGTAAGTATATTAAACTTTGTCACAGAAGAGCCACATATATACAACAACTTTCTCTTTTATTTTCTATATATTTAGTATGATTTGCTTGTTACATATGTTTATTATTAATGAATTTCAAACAGATCAGATAGCATATATTTTACAGGGACATTTGAACATTTGATTGCATCCATGCTACTTGCTTCATGTCATGAACTTTTTGACTTTGCAATCAGGGACAGGCCTTGTGTCTTTTATCAACTCTTCATCAGGCATTTCCAAAACATATAAGTAAATAGAAAATGCCTCGGCTGGTCTCTTTAAATAGACACAAACTGGAAACATAAATCACACAGTGTCAAAGCACGATTATGCAGCACACTTAATGTTAATTCTAAGGGAATTACATTGCATCATATTAACATTTTGATCCACTTAAGGCCAAAACATTATGCAGGAGGAGGCATAATAGTCCACATTTACAACGTGGCATCAATGTAAAGTGAAGACTATCTCCATTACAAGTGATCTCAATGTGACTTAGAAGCTTAATTCATGCATAATTTAAACCAAGCCATCTGATTCCTTAGAACAGCACAACGACAACCAGACAGCTGGAAATAATTCACAAATCTCTCATTGTTTGTTTGGATGAATGGTGGGTAAGTTGCAACCACTGTGATAGAATCTTCTGCGAAAACAACAGTCACCGTTGGTTTCCTCGTTCGTGTTTATGTTCTTTTAATAAACAACAATATTCCTATTTTTTTAGGATTACGACCACTGTGGCTTGCAACATGGATCTGACCAAGTATCCGATGGACAAGCAGACCTGCACGTTACAACTGGAGAGCTGTAAGGACACCTCATACTTGAATATCAGAAGTCTGCAGCTTGAAGCTGTGGCAGAGAGTCAGTGGGTGGGCGTATTTTCAAATGAATCTGATCAAACCAAAGGATCAAACACATCACTTTCTCTCATCTTCTAAACTGTGTGTGTGAGTGCATGTGTGCGTTGATGCATGCATACATTTGTGGATGTGTGTGTGTGCGTGTTTGTGCACGATTGATACTTAGGTCACGCAGCAGACAGAAATTGCAAGGGCAGTTCAGGTCATGAAGAATTTTACATCGTAATTTCTCTTTACTAGGATGTATGCAAATCTTAAATGACTTGATTGTTGTCATGGAAACAGAGATGTAGCTGTACTGTACATTAACCTTTGCAAATGATCAACCCCTGAAATGGACAAATCAACAGTTTCGGAAGAATTGTTGTTACTTTGTCTCTTGGTGATAGATGGGAAAATTACCACTTAGCTAAGCATAAAGTTACAGACTCCAAAACGAAATCATCCACCTGCTACCACCTCAAAATCTTACACATTGAATCCTGCCTTTTTAATCTATACAATAAAACATAAAAACATTTACTCAAAGATTTTCTTTGAACATGTCATAACATTTTTATTCTTGAATACATTAAACAAACCTGTTTTTGTGATGATTAGGTTTGAATGAAGCAAACTGCTGTTTTTTTTTTTT